CATTATGCACTTATTTCTAATTACTTCCTTCGTTATTCACTGTGAATTACAAAACACCCTGAAATACTTACGTCAAAGGTCTTTTAATAAAAAAAAAAGCTTGAAAGCAGCAAAATTTTATTAAATTATATCCCACCATAATGAAATTAGAATGGGAAAATGTTTGAAAAAAGTAAAAAATACAGTAATACAAGAGGGTGTTGTATAACTATTTATTTTTGACAAATGGAAAATTCAGGAGCTGACAGCAATTCCTAAGAGTGCTAAAGTCACTCTTTCTGAATCTGGAGCCATTTGAGATTATGAAAAACACTCCAATATGTCTAGAAAGGATCAAGCTGGAGACCACAATGAGTTGGGGATTATGGGAGATGAAAATGAATACTGTGAATTGGAGAAGATTGGAACCTGAATTACAGAATGAACGAATTAGAAGGGGTTTTGAGATCATGTAGTTTAGCGGTAGGCAACCTTGGCTCTTTTATGACCCGTGGACTTCAACTCCCAGAATTCCTGAGCCAGCATGGCTGGCTCAGGAATTCTGGGAGTTGAAGTCCACGGGTCATAAAAGAGCCAAGGATGCCTAACCCTGATCTAGTTCAACCCTTGCTTAGTGTAGAAAACGTGACATCCTGATGCCACCCTTTCGAAAACTCCCAATCCTCTAGATCAGGGCTATCAAACTGCTGGCCAATTTCATCATACCGAAGCCGCACCTCATACGTTGCGACACGTCACGTGATGTGGCGAGGTTGATACCCGTGTTCTAGATATTAGATAGCTCCATGGTTCAGCAGCTCTTACTGTCATAAATTGCAGCATGAATTGCTTTTAATTGCAATCTATTGGTCTTTCTCCAGCTATCAATTTCTAAAAATATATCCATCTGTCGTTTGCCCATTGGATTGACTGCAATCCCATTCCATTGGTCTTCTGTTTTCTAAACCTGCAAAGCCCTTTCATTCTTCATAAAGTATGGTTTGCAGACAGTGGTGGGATTCAAATACGTGAACAACCGGTTCTCTGTGTGGATGCCGCTTCCGGAAGTCCATTCTGGGCCTGGGCAACAAAAAATTAGCTACCGGTTCTGCCAAAGTGGTGCGAACTGGCTGAATCCCACCACTGTTTCCAGATCTCTTTTTATCCAAACTCTTCCTCTGAACCCATTCACACATCCCCAAGTTTCTTGGGTACAGAAACTGGATACAACACTCCAAGAGTAATCAAATCAACAGAGCCACAGTGACACTATTACCTCTCATGAGGCAGGGGCAACATTTCTGTTCATTTAGCCTAAGGGTTCACTGGCCTTATGACTGCTACATCCCATAGTTTCCTCATGTTCATCTAGATCAGTGGTGGCGAACCTATGGCACACGTGCCAGAGGTGGCGCTCAGAGCCCTCTCTGTTGGCATGCGTGCCACCGCCGCCAGCAGCAGGTCCATCAGGCCACCACCACTGCCCGGAGCAGGAGCCCCGCCCACCACAAAGGAGGCGAAGCGGCTGACCAGCAAGCTTGAGTAGAGGTGGTAGAGCAGAGGTCATTAACCATTGTCGATTGGTGGACTGGAAGAAAGGGAGGGGGAAGCATTTTACAGGCGTGCATGCGCGCACGGGGCTGTGAGCACGCACGTGCTGCAAATGGGGCAGGTCTAGTGACTGCGTGATAATCACTAGCCCTGCCCTGTTCTTGCATAGTGCAGCGCCTTGTATCTGTACTCTGCGATGCGGCGGCAGACGTTTTTGTGCCTTGCAGCACGGTGGCCCATTTTTGCGCCCCCGGGTTTTGCGTGCCAGAGGCGGCACTCAGAGGCGCCTCCCTGCTTCCCCCGAGGGCACCAAAATGCTGGTGCAGCCCTGGCACTTTGTGATAAATAAGTGGGTTTGGGGTTGCAGTTTGGGCACTTGGTCTCTAAAAGGTTTGCCATCACTGATCTAGATCCTTCTCACAACCAAACACCAACCAGCTCTTCCCGGTCTGTATTTGCGTGTTTAATTTTGTCCTGTAAGATAGTAGCTATTTCCCTTAGCTTGAGGTCATCCTCAAATGTCATAAACATCCCTTCTGCTCTATCCTCTAGGTCAGTGTCTCTCAACCTTTGCAACTTTAAGATGCGTGGACTTCAACGCCCAGAAATCCCCAGCCAGTTATTCTGCGGAATTCTAAGAATTGAAGTCCACACATCTTAAAGTTGCAAAGGTTGAGAAACACTGCTCTAGATTGTTTATGAAGAGGCTGAATAAAACTAGAGTTGTCTGATATGAGGCAACATATAAATTAAATAAAGTAGAATAAGGTAATAAAATAAAATAAAACACTATGCCAATGTTGGAGAGATGGGAGATGCTATTAGGTATTTCTCTTCAGGACAGTTCAGTGAAATTCAAATTACTATAAAGCAGTGGTTCTCAACTTTAATGCCGCGACCCCCAACCGGTCATAAGTTGAGGACTACTCAACTGGTCGTAAGTCGAGGACTACTCAACTGGTGCAGCATTGTTTGCAGAATGGGACTTTTGGCAGGCTCAGCAGGGCAGAGATAGCCTGGACAATTCCTATTGGCTTTTGAAAGCCAATAGAATTAGACTCTATTCAAGAGAGTCTATTCTATTGGCTTTCAAAAGCCAATAGAATAAAAGGGAGTAGCACAGCTAAGGAAAAGGGGGGGAAATGGCGGACTGCGTTGTTTGGCGACCCCCATGAAATGGTCGTTCGACCCCAAATGGAGTCCCGACCCACAGGTTGAGAACCACTGCTATAAAGCACTGTAAAAACTACACGGTTGGATTACATCTTACCAAATATATATGATTTAAGATAAGACCCACAAATTGGATCAGGTCACTGTTTGCTTACTCATGGTTATTGACTAAACCAAGATTGGTTGCCTGCACATACTAAATGATAAACCATAGCTTTCAAACCTCATTAGCTGCATTTATGTATATAACATTACGACTTATGCATGCGTAAACTCAACCAGAACATAGGAGCTGAAAAGTCCATGACGTTTTATTACTATCACTGCTGTCGTGGCATGCAAGTTTCAGTTGAACAGAGACTTGATTCCACTGTTCCCTCTACGTGTGAATGTATATGTCTACAAACTTGCTTGTGGACCTTGCTTCTGATGAGCTGGATATTAAACTCTTTCCTCAAGCTACAGCTGTGCAGGGAGCCCTGGCATGTCTGGAAGGTACCTTTTGTGTGGGAGGAGAACATGACCTTGTGTGAGCTGTTTAAGATACTATCTTAAAAGGCTATATTACGCAGCAACTGATTTGCACACTCAGCTTCAGAAACTGCTCAACTGCCTTGCACATGGATTCTGTTCCAGCAGGTGACTGAGGCCTTTGGAAATCTTAAGGGGGGAAAAAAAACGGCTTGATGCCTTTAAAAAAAGATAACCACCCACCCAGCTGTACAGCTTTCCCACACCAAGCAAACAAAAGGAGATCCGGAAGTAGTGGAGGGCGCAAAAACCTCACATGGCTTTGAAGTCAAAATGGTCAGGTGGAAGGTCTCAGCAAATAGCAATTTTACTTCCTAGAAAAAAGGTCTCTCCCCAATCCGGTCCGACATGGGGTGGAGGGGAATCTTGGCTATTTACGTTCTCCCCATAGGGTAGGACAAATACATGCAGGATCCTCAGAGAGAGAAAACTTATTAATGGTGGTGGTGGGGGAATTAAAATCAGACACGTCGTAACCTGGAAGTCTTTCCAAAGGGGATGGCATGATCCGAACACGTTCAATAAGATTTTTTTTTTTCCTGATTATGGAGACCTTTGGAACAGGAACAAAGCAGAAATGAAACCAACCACCGTTACGAATAACTTTGTTGTTTTTGCTTTGAACAGGGCGTTTGGAACGCATCAGGTATTTGGCAAGAGAATTCGAACGGAGACGCGTTAGCCGGGAGGATGAGCTGCGAGATAAAAGGGTCTTTGGGGGGGGGAGATAATTAGGAAAAGGGGGGGGACGGATGGAGGTTTGCTTTTAAATATTGCTAATCTAAGAACAGCTGGACCGAGCCGGTCTAAAACGGTAAAATGCAACGTCTCCTGCCATTTCTAGCGCTCTCTGCAGCCGGGGACGGTGGCGGGGAGGGAAAGCAAGAGACGCTATTGCAAGCCAGCATATTACGAGGCCGCCGGCGCGCTGCCTTAAAGCTCAATCGCCCGGGATGGGGGGGGGGATGAAACCCAAATGCAAATCTGTGCCCATTTATCGCCTGGAAAGTGGCCCCCCCCTCCGCACCCGCTGCTTTCTGCTGCGTCTTGCTATTCCAGGACGCCGCTGCTTTTAATTCAGCTCCCGATCGCAGCTGTGTTGCAGGGGGGGGGTGGCGGCGGAAGGAGGGGGTGTCTTTCCCCCCCCCTCTTCCCAAGCCTCGATTTTCAAGATCGTCTTTCTGGGCTCTACGTAACGCCCTCTCCAAAGCGGACGCCATATTTTGTGTTGCTGATGTCGACGTAGTGAAACGTAGACATTTTTTTTTTAAAAAAAAAGAGACCTTGGCGTTTTCTCCTCTCTCGCAGCCCCGTTCCCCCTCAAAAACTTGCGGTCGATACGGTTGGTAGAAGGCGAGAAAGCATTCTTTCCCCCCCCTCCTCGCTCCCGTACATGCATTTTCTTTTTGCCCCAATTTGAATTCTATTCTCCTGCTTTTCGCTCTTCCTCACACGCCCCTCCTCTTTCCAACTGAAGTCTTAACAAAAACCGGAGGGTGTTTTTTTTTTTTCTTAGCGGGGAGAGGGCGGAAAAAGTTAGGTCGAAGTGGATTGCTTGGTAAACTAGCGCAGGATCAGGAGCAAGAGCACCGAAATCCATGTGGCAAAAGAATATCCAATCTGGCTTTGCGAGGCATCCACACTTCCTTTTTCCGATTAAGGGTGCTGGTGCTGCTGCTGCACTTTTTTTAAAAAATTTTATTGTGTGTGTTTTTAAAGAAGGGCGGGCGAGAGGAGGAAGGGAGGGAGGGCGAAGTTTTCCTTACCTGTGATCAAAGCTTTGGAACGCTGAGACGCAGAACTTTCCCCCGAATAGAACTCTCGGTGCGCGTTCTAGAACGCCGAGGAGACTGTCCGGGACTTTCACTTATACAAATCGCCCCCTTCTAGGGGGAAAAAAAAAAGGCATACAGTAGGATTTAAAAAAAAAAATAAAAAAAAAATCTCTCCGATCGGTGGTGGTGATCTACACCAAAACCCACATGATCTCTTACGTCAGCTTGCGTATTTGCATACGATACAATCCACAGCTCCTCTATCGGGGTCCCTGGGTTTGCTGGAAAGTTTTTGACGCGAAAATTCGACCGCGAACTCTTCGCCGGGGAGGGGAGGGGGCGGTCAATACGTTGCTTAAAGTAGCGTCCTTTTTTCCCCGACGGATTAAGTACTCTTCCCTTATTTTATCCGCTTTTTGTTATCTCTTAATGTGAAGATTGGTGTCATTGCTGTTAACTTTAATCGAACGTAATAAGGAGGATTAACTTTGCCAAAGAGATAACGCTGCTGTTAATACGAATGCATCTTCACCTAGACATCGGTGTTATCTCTCTCGGATACCGTCCATCTCCTTCATTGCTAGCTATCTAGTTAAGTCCTAATTAAGTCCAGATTTTAGTTAAATCCTCTACTTGGAAGTAAATCTTGCTAAGTAAGGTTTGTATCTGGACACGCCCCCCCCTTTTTTTGCTTAAGAGTAGAACGCCGTAGGTTTTCGACTGGACGGAGTTTTTTTACTTCTTTCACCTCTCGCTAAGTCCGATAGGGCTTACTCCCAAGTAAGTTAGCAAGGACCGTTGAATCCTGAGCACATTTTCCCGAAAGAGCTATCAGAACGGAGGCTGGTGCAAAAAAGAAAGAATGTTAACGTTTTGTTAACTTTCGGCCTCGCATGGAGGCAGTGCACCGATGCGTCCCCCTCCCTTCCGCCCCCCTCAGCCCCTCCGGGTAATGCTTGAGTAGGGCACATGGATCTCGACCACTTTTTAAAAATCTCTGCCCTCGTTTCCAAAAGCAGCTAGAGTGGGGGTGGTTGGCACGCGCACCTGCGCGTTCACACGCTCCTGAACCCTCAATTGGAAGATTAATCTTTTTTTTTTTTTTTAATAATGAAGATGCTGTTAATCTCACGGACGAAAGTGGCTAACGGGGGAGGAAGGGTGTCTGAAGTTGGCTTTGCAAATCGGCCCCAGGGACCGGAAGGCGGAGTCGTGCAACTGTAGCGCCCGATTCAAAGAAACCAATCGCGCATTATAATTGTTTGCAGGTTTTCAGAAGTCCCCCTTTGTCTCCTGGTCTAGATTTTACAGCCAAGCCGCCGGCCATGTTACCTGTTGCTCCTGTTAAATATTGGGAGGTGGGCGAGAAGGGGTGTCTTAAAAGTCTCGCATTCTCTCCTGATTAGATGGGAATGGATCCCTCTGATTCTTTCCATCACTACAGCGCTGACTGCGCTGGGACGCCGTGAATGCAACTCAGTTGATTTTTCAAATTCGGAATTGGGAATTCACCCCTTAACTAGTAAGTCTCTAGGGATGGTTGGGAGTCCGGCGGCATATCAACGTAATGAAGTATTAGTGTTTCAAAATTTTGAAAACCCTTGCTAAGAAAACCGCAGGGATTTGACCAGACAGTCTGCAAGAATCGGAGATAATTGAGCGGGGAAAATAACCATTAGGGATCCATATCACACATTGATTTTAAGTAACAACTAGGAAAATTGGCGACTGAGCCAAGTGCTTTTTCTGCTCGCTTCAAGTGGCTAGTGAGGCTCACTTATCACGCTGAGCCACGGCCTAATAATGTCTTATGGATAAACCAACATTGACTGGGTTCTCCCTACTCATTGTGATGAAAGATAATTTCTGAAGCATCACGCCTCATGTTCTCACCCACACGTTAAACCAAACCACTTATATTGCTGTTTGTCCGTGGGTTTTATGGACGCGGCTGCCTTTAAAATTCAAAGTTGGGTCAGGCTCTAGAACAGGGTGTGTGTGTGTGAAACAGGATGCCGTGTCTCCTTTTTAGGCTGAAAACCTGTATCCCCTCAGGTAAACCGCAGCGCATCAATTAAAAGTTTGAACTGATAATTGATTTAAGACTGGACCAAGTGGAGATCCGGATTTAGAAGTTCGGATTACATACTCTGCTTCGCTCTTCTTGCTTCGGTTAATATCGCGCGGGGAGGAAGAAACGGGCGGTGGCGAGTTCACCTATAGTTTTAACGTTTGAATGCTGCTCTCTCGGCTTTCCTACGCGCAAAGGCGGGCGTGTAGCTGAGAGGTAAGCTAAACTCGCTCGCAACCTCGCGGAAGGGCGCACAGGATCCTATGCCTATTTACTCTCCGGAAAGAAGCGTGAAAAGACCCCCCCCCTTCCCCAGCGCTGATCTTTGAGGATGGGTTTTATCCTTCCTCCGCCTCTTTGGGGCTTTTCCGCGAGGGGAAGGAGACAGTTGTGACTTTAACTCCTGTACAAATGTATGGATGGATAGGTCTAATTTGAGTGGCATCTGCTTTGTGAGGGATCGGGCAGTGATGGATCAGGATTGTGAGGCCAAGGACTGCTTGGTTTTTAGATATCCCCCTCCCCCAGGTGGCACCATCTAACCACCTTTGGGAAAAAAGCTAAGATCTGATCTGGTTAATACTTGGGTGGAAATTTACCCGAGAATCCCAGATCTTTTGGCTAGAGTAGGAGGTTTAAAAAATGAGAAGGAAAGGGTAGCAAACCAGATGTGCATCACATTTTCACAGGAAGACTCCAAGTGATTATGCTGCCTTTTGTCCTTTAAAATTCTCAGCTCTATTAAAGCTTGATTTTCAGTGACTCTCAAGCCATTTGCTCAACCTTCCTATGGTTGTTTTGTATTTTGATGCTCATTCATTCCTTGTATGACCAAACCACCTCAATGTACTGGTCCCTCACTTTTGCATTCAGAACACAACAGGATAACAGAGTTGGAAGGGACCTTGGAGGTCTTCTAGTCCAACCCCCTACTCAAGCAGGAAACCTCATACTATTTCAGACAAATGGCTGTCCAATCTCTTTTTAAAAACCTCCAGAGATGGAGCACCCACAACTTCAGAAGGGAAGCCATTCCACTGGTTAATTGTTTTCACTGTTAGGAAATTTCTCCCTGGTTCTAGGTTGCTTCTCTCCTTGAGAATTTTCCATCTATTGTTTCTTGTCTTACCTTTGGTGCTTTGGAAAATAGGTTGACCCCTCCCCCTCTTCTTTATGGCAGCCCCTCAAATATTGGAATACCTCTATCATGTCACTCCAGTCCTTCTTTTCACTAGACTAGACATATTCAATTCCTGTCCATATTTATTAAGAATCCCTTTGTTTTGGGTCCTATCTCTGTTTTTTCCTGCCCCAGTGGTTCTTAAATAACCCCTCCCACTTCATTTAGCTTTTAAGTTTCTCCCAATACATCCAGACCTCACTTCCATAAGGCAAAATAATAACCATGTTTTTATATACAACCATTTTCACTTTGTTTCATATTCTTTGATATTCGGGTTTTACCACATGCTACCGACTGTCATTCTATGATTTGCACATCTTAATATGCATTCTTCCCATCTTCCTATCTTTATTAAACATTTATCCACTCTTAGGTTTTTGTCATTCACCTATAACTTGCTACTGTTCACTCAAAATTCCCTGACAAATTCAACTACCTTTGTTTTTTTTTTCATACCTTAATTCTCACATCCATATGCCTTGTTGCATAACACTTTGCAAATCATCCGATTTTCAGCCAACAACACACTGAGGGTGAAGGTTTGTTCTCTGAGCTTGTGGGTTGGTTTCTGAACATTTTGTTATCAGGCTAGGTAACATCTTCAGCAGAGTTTAGGGCAAGGGTCCCCAACCCCAGGTCTGTGGACCGGTACTCGTCCGTGGCATGCCAGCAACTGGTCCGCACAAACAAGCAAAGCCCCATCCGTGGGATGCAGGTAACATCTTCAGCAGAGTTTAGGGCAGGGTTTCCCAACCCCCGGTTTGTGGACCGGTACCGGGCCGTGGCATGCCAGCAACCGGTCCGCACAAACAAGCAAAGCCCCATCCGTGGGATGCAGGCAGCACACAAAACCACAAAACCGGTCCCTGGTGCCCAAAATGTTGGGGACCTCTGGTTTAGGGGAGACTGTATTGCCTGCATACATAACTACATTCCCAACCTCTAATCTCCTTCAACATCTAATACCTAATGTCTTTAATATCCCTTACATGTTTGTTTATAAATACATTAAACAACTAAGTGGATATCATATATCTATTGCCTTAATGCTTAATGCCGATCCATTCACTTAGCATTCCATCTATTCTCACACTTTATTCTATCACGAAGTAATCATGTGCTATCAAGTGCTGTTGGCTTTTAATGAATACAGCAACCAGTCCTCAGCTTATATTTTTAACTTTCCAGCCTTCATGTCCACTACTTCGTCCTACAGTTTCTTTAATTCAGCACATGTTGAAGTTCCCTTCTCACAGCCACGCATTCCTCCCAAAGACCAAAAAGTAAAGCATAGCATAGCAAAACAAAACCCGCTACATCTGTCCCCCATAAAACCCCCTCTGCATTTCCCAGTTGGTTTACATTGTCACCTCTTGAACCTTTTCCATCAAAACCTGCCAAACACCTTCCCAGGGACACTTAACAAACTAATCCTTCCCTGTGGTTTTGCATTTGTTCTTGATATCATTCCTTTTGATTAAGGGAACAGTAACCTCCATTGTCAAGCATATGAAATTTTCATAGACATGTTAAAAGAGTTTGGGCAGCCACTCCATAAGCACAGATTTGAACATTCTCCAGTTACGTCATCTACATTTGCAGATTTAATATTTAAAAAAATATTCTCAAAGCATTTGACTTTCTTTCTTTCTTTCTTTCTTTCTTTCTTTCTTTCTTTCTTTCTTTCTTTTTCCTCTCTTTTTCTTTCTCTTTCTCTCTTTCTTTCTCTCTTTTCCTTCCTTCCTTCCTTTCTTCCTTTCCTTACAAATCTCTAACATACTCCTTCCAGCACTCCCTCACTTCATTTCATCCCCTTTATTTTTAATTTTAATTCCACTTTCTTTGTTGCTGGCTTCTTGTTGAGCTCTCTTCATCAATTTCCCAAATAATTTTTTCTTTTTATTTCCATCAGAACGGCTGTGCATTTTCTTCATCTTGTTCAACCTTGGCTCAGAAATTCTGCGCGTTGAAGTCCACGAGTCATAAAAGAGCCAAGGTTGCCTACCCCTGCCCTAGTTCATGCTTTCTGACATAGGATTGAACTCTTTAATTCATAATTTAAAAATATCCTTTCACTTTCTTCTGTCAACTCTCCTCCATGAGATCAGATCATCTTCAGGCTACTTTCTTTTGGTTTCAGTTTGTAAGCAGGAGAGCCCGTACTACAGGTAGCCCTTGACTTAACCCTAACTCTAACCACAACTGAGCTCCCAAACTTATACTGTTGAGCAGGTCAGTTGTTAAGTGCATTTTACCCCATTTTACCATCTTTCTTGCCACAGATGTTAAGTGAATCACTGCAGTTGTTAAGTTAGTAACCTGGTTGATAAGTGAATCTGATTTCCCCATTTGCTAGTCATAAGGTTGAAAAAGGGGATCACATGGCCCCGAGACATTGCAACAGTCATAAATGCATGCCAGTTGCCAAGCATCTGAATTTTGATCACACGATCATGAGGATGCTGCAACAGTTGTAAGTGTGAAAAACAATCATAAGTCACTTTTTTCAGTGTGTTTGTAACTTTGAATGGTCGCTAAATGAATGATTGTAAATCAAGGACTACCTGTATTAAATTTAAAAAAAAAATGCCTTGGGTGACAGGATAGTTATGATAGTGTGCCAGATAAAGCTTGGTACATTTTAAAAGTATACAGTATAAATTATAACTGGAGACAGTATCTAGGTCATGTTTCTCAAGTTTGGCAATTTTAAGATGTGTGGATTTCATCTCCCAGAATTCCTCAGCCAGCAAGGCCAGATGAGGAATTCTGGGAGTTGAAGTCCATACATCTTAAACTTGAGAAACACTGACTTAGATCTTGGAAAAGATAACAAAGGTCAAACGATGGAGCTGGATATCAGATGGAAGATGACGAGGCTGTATTGGAAAAAAGTCACTGTAGAACCAGACAGCACAATGCATTTTTACTTTTTCCCTAGAAAGCAATGTCTGTGCTCTTAAAATCATCAGGAGTCAAGCTGGATGCAATGGAGTCTCTCCTTATTACAAATAAATATGAATATTAATAGTTTGACACAGGTCCAAATAAATGTTACCTCTGAGTACATGTAGTTATATACATACATATAAGTCTTTCATGGCAAAATGCCTACATCTTTCATTGGTAATGAATGACCTTGGCAATGATTATTCTTACCTGTAAATCTCAGTTCCTCAATAATGTTTTAATTGTTCTTCAACTATGCAGAGAGCCAGGCTTTTACTGTTTCAAATTGCTACCATGGTTTGATGCCCTTTTGGCTTCCACATATAACAGTTCTTTTCAGCAGAGGCTGTTTTACACTTGCTTATATTCACTGAGCTTTAAAATTATCCTACTTTCTGTTTTGTGTTTGATTTTCTAATACCAGGCTACAGGCTGTGAGAAACACAGCAATGGTTTAAATGGGTAAAAGTAATTAAAGGGTATCTCTCGGAATAATTTATACCTTAGTTGCACCATGCTCGTAAATCATAAAAGACTTGGAATTGAGATAGACATTTTTAAATAGTACACTTCAAGCTTCTCAAATTGGTTTGTGAACTCTTGTTACGGTCACTCTGCTTTCCCGTATTTTAAAGATTTTTTTTAACCCCCTTAGATTGACTTAGGAGTGTTTCAATCCTAATTAATGAAATAAAATCCAGATGCAGCTAGTTGGTGCTTTCTAATGATAAGCAACTGGAATTATTGGCCTACATAGTTTAATGGATGCTATTATTATTATTTAGCATATGATGAGAACATGACAAGAGAAGTAAACATAAATATACAGTCTACATAATTATAAGTAAAACTTCTGTGGGAGTATTACAGTGGCTTCATAACTGAATGTCCAGTTCAGCTATCTAGGTGATCACCTCTGACGTTGCTTTGTTGTTGTTAGTTGCGAAGTTGTGTCCGACCCATCACGACCCCATGGACAATGTTCCTCCAGGCCTTCCTGTCCTCTACCATCTTCTGGAGTCCATCCGGGTTCCTATGGAGAAAAGATCTTTACAGCATCAGACTTTCCTTTCACCACCAGATGCATCCATAACTGAGCGTCCTTTTGGTTTTGGCCCAGTTGCTTCACTCTTTCTGGTGCTACTAGTACTAGCCCTCTGCTCTTCCCCAGTAGCATATTGGACACCTTCCGACCTGAGGGGCTCATCTTCCAGCATCATATCTTTGGTACTGTCCATGGGGTTTTCATGGTAAAGATACTGGAGTGGGTTGCCATTTCCTTCTCCAGTGGGTCACATTTTGTCAGAACTCTCTGCTATGACCTGTCCGTCTTGGGTGGCCCTGCACGGCATAGCTCATAGCTTCATTGAGTTACGCAAGCCCCTTCACCACGACAAGGCAGTAATCCATGAAGGAGCTGATGTTGCTTATTGTAGATCTTTTAGGGAACCAGAGAACTCAAGTTGTGAGCAATCTTGCACGATATGTTTAATAGTTGGCATATCAGCACCACAATTGCAACAAAGGAAATCTTTCCCTCCCTACTGATACAGGGCAGAGGCACTTCCAGTATTACACCTAATTCTGTTCAATTTCACCCAGACAAAGCGAGGCAGATTAATAAAACCAGGTGATTTGGTAGAGGGTTCACTAATGGTCAGATCACAAGAAGGTATCCTGGACCATTCCTCTCTCCAGGCATTCTTGGGATTAAACTGGGTTGGTTTTCTGAGCTGATCTATGGGATTTTAATCATTGCCCTGTTGAATAGGGAGGGGTTTGTTGCTCAGTATCCTTGACCATAGCCAAATGAGAACTTGTTATCTTCTAATGTGGTATGATAACTGCTCTTTTGGGCCTCACGGCCA